TATTGAAGCCTCAAATTGGACAATTTCTGACAATAACCATCCTTTCCTATCCTATCTCTCCTCGCCTTGTACTCCAGATCAAAATATGTATACCTTTATAAACATTTTCAGCTATTATACTTTTAAGGTATTTGACCCTTAATAATTCAGAATCATCAGGCAAAACTGATGCTTTTGTTTTCACATCCAAAACAGTTCATGTTTTCCTCCTGTTTTATGTAATTGGATACTTTACTGAATGGTTGTAAATGTATTTTCTCCATTAAAAAGAGTAAGAACAGACTAAATACTACACTCTGCTCTCAGAAAGCTTCATGGGCCACTTTGCAGGTAAAGCATTGCATGAAGAAATGACTGCTTGACTTTATCAATAAAGGTAACATCAAATTCAATGTAAAAACGTTTATTACTTTGTTTTGGACATGTCTCAAAAATATGCCTAGCCAGCCCCAGGCTAACGTTACTTACCATGTCCGCCTCCACTCGCTCATCATCAGTCACGGACAAGATCACCACCAGCTCCCGCTGCTGAGTCTGACCCGGCCCCCTTGCTCATCTCCCGGCACACAACAACGGCGCCAAATAGGTCCGTCAATTTTGCACACTTAGCAGCCTCCACCTCGAGAGATTTTAGCTTTTTAGTCCTCTGTTTCTCAGCGCCACCCGGGCGTTTTTTCTTCCTGTCCATTTTCGTCGTCTTTTTAGTACTGGGCTAGTAGCGTAGCAAGCTAAATTAGCGAACAGCCTACGAGGTCCCACCCCACCCTGGCTCGCTGGCAACACACTGCAGAGCTAGCCCTCTGTAGCCAATGATGAGTGGCTGGCCGGCCCAATTGGAGAGTTTAGAAAAATGGGTCAACGGCCCACCAGGATGATGCCCGGTATGCCAGATGGCCAGTCCACCCCTGGTGACGGAGCCTCCATGTGAACACAGAAACACAGTGGAGGTGGACAGGGAGAGGGTGTAGAGGGTGGTTTGGGAAAGTCTTATGCTTATGGTCATGTTCCCCCACAGCGCTCAGGTGAGGGCGGGGCTTTACAAAAAGGACCATCAGCTGCAGACATCCAAGAGACAAAGCACTGAAATAAACTCAAATACAGCGAGGTGAAACCCCAAATGAGATGAATCTGGGGTTGGATTTTACTGTAACTTTCAGGAGCATGTTCACCAACAGTAACCAGCAATCCTGCAGAGAAACCTTTGCAACTTCAAACAGTTCGTTTGTTTGCTTGTTTGCTTGTTTGTTTCTTTAAATCATAATGTAAAACACTCTGAGCTGTTTGTTTGTTTATTAGACAAATAAGTAAACTTTACAAATCATTATTAAAAATTCAATCTTGAAATCACAGTTTGATTAAAAAAGCAAAACCAAAAGGATACATGTTTCTGTTTATTCATTTGTATGAAATCAATGAAATCAAACTGATTAACAGATGATCAATATATCAGAATGAAGCTGAACAAATGCAACAACACATTCAGAAATCACATATTTCATAATTATTTATCATTAACTTCAACTTATCATCTACATGTTTATATCTAATGATTCAATAATTACCAGGAAATCCAGGAAGAGGAAGGTTATTTAAGTGTGGGAGTGGCCTATTTGAATCCATTTTGTTTGAGGCCATGCGGCAAGGTGAGTGTGTTTGCTGATCCTGTAAGTTTATTTAGCTCCTTTAACTTTAGCTTATATTGTAGTTATGCTATGTAGCGTGTGAAATAGAGTATGGTGAATGTGTTAGGAAAGGTAGTATGAGCACTGTCTCTACCTGGAGCTCGCATGTACGGAGCCTGGGTTTGTTGAAGGTGGCAGTGCTGTTTGGGCTGAGAAAGCCATGTGTAAGTAAGGTAAAGGAGGTTGTTGGGTTGGTGTGGGGAGCAGTGAGACCTGGCATTAGGGGAGTGTCTCTGGGACGCCAGAGATCACTGTCTAGCCTCCTGGAGGTGTCGTGGGACCAACTAGACGAAACACTGGTGAAAGGAGGTTCCCACCCGATGACCCCAAAGACATGTTAGTTATCACTGCTCATTGGTTTGTATAGTTAAGCCTTGCCATAATAGCTTATCATAGGGCTTAGGTTTTTCACTGAGTGTTGATCCTTTCTCTAGAGCACAAACGTCTTGTGTTTATTTGAACTCAGAACTAGCCCAGCTAGTGACTGCTGTGAATAGGGCAGCTGGCAACAAGGGAAAGACCATGTGACCGCTTGGAAAGACAGCTGACAGGAGGGAAAAGACCCCAGCGGTGCTACCATGGGTTAGCAACCCATGGTAGCAGTGGTGAGGCCTAGCAGCCTTACTACAACCAAAATTAGCTACAGCCAACATAGGAAAAATACCACAAGAGTCAGCGAGAGCAGGGGTGGAAGATGACTCACAGGTGGATTACACGATAACAGACATTGGAACGGACACGACTACGTATTGGATCTGTGACTCAGTGAAGGATAGGGGCACGGATCTATCCACCAGTGCTAGAATTAGCAGCACTCAGGGCAAGGTGAGCGCATCTGTAGAGGGCAAAAGTAGCATAGTTGAGAACAAGATGTTTCAGGTTTGTCCTTGCAGCTGGCAGAAAGTAACATCAGTAAAAGGCCTCAGAACTCATCAGGGAAAGAAGAAGTGTGTGGCAAAGAAAGGGCAGAGTAGCCGCATTGATCAGTACTTCCTAAGAAGTCAGTCGAGTCAGTCGGATGAAGTCCAGCGGCAGGTAGAAAACCACAGTTCGCAGGATATCAGTAAGGCTGCCACTGAGGAGGAGGAGGAGGAGGAGGGGGTAGTAAGAGAGGATGCAGGTGACAATGAGGCCAGTATGCCAGTCAGAGAGAGAACCATGGAGCAAAAGGCTAGAGTTAGATGGCCTAGGGCAAATGACAGTAAAGAATGGGAGATAGTTAATAGAGATTTGTCAGTAATCTTACGCAGGCTTAGAGGAAATGCAATAGAAAGGTTAGAAAAGATGGGAGATATAATGTATTCATATGGTGTAGAGAGGTTTGGGGTGCATGAGAGAAAGAGGAGTGAGAGGGTACAGTCAGGTAAATCTAGGCGGCAGAGAGAAATAGAGAAGTTAGTCAAGGAAAGGAGACAGTTAAGAAAGCAGTGGAAAAAGGCTACAGAAGAAGAAAGGGAGGGAATTAATGTGTTGCAAGAGGAGTTGAGAAGCAGGCTAGCAGTTCTTAGAAGGGCAGAGCATCTCAGGAAAAAGAGGAGGAAGAAGGAACATGTAAGGACAGGTTTTTTCAGGGACCCTTTTAAGTTTGTTAAAGGATTGTTCAGCCAGGAAAAGGGAGGGCAGCTTAAAGCAGAAAGGCTAGAGGTTGAAGAATATTTGAGAAATACATATTCAGATTTTGAGAAGAATAGGATAGTAGGTTTTCCACCTGATATCCCTCCATTAGTAGGGATAGATCATGAGATGGATGTCAGGCCACCTAGGTGGAAGGAAGTTCAGGAGGTGGTCAGGCGTGCAAAGGCTTCTTCGGCCCCAGGGCCTAATGGAGTCCCCTACCAGGTTTATAAAAGTGCACCTGATACCCTTAAATTTTTATGGAAACAGCTAAGAATAGTTTGGGAGAAGCAAATTATACCAAGAGCATGGCGTAGGGCAGGGCTAACTGACTGGTGCAGAATCGCAGGCTTTAAACTCTGTGTGCCACCACGTCAAGAACTTTTTATTACCAACAGGACCAGAGAGATGACATCATGGCATCATATGATGTCACTTCACCTTTGACCTGTATTCCCAGTGAAGACAGGGAGGAAAAGTCTGCTACAGGACAGCACCAACATCAGACCACATCTGTGAACCTGCTGGATCTCTGTCTGACCACCACCTACTTCTCCTCCTACTGAAGGTACAGAGAGGGTTTCTACTGACAGAAGCTCGGCTGTGCTGTGGGCTCACCGCTGTCTCCTACAGTGTCTGGTCTTTACATGGAAGATGTGCACCTCTGCACCAGTCAGTTAGAACTGAAGAAGGATGAGAGGTGAAACATCTTCAAGAAACTGAAGTAGGTCCCGTTGTCTACGTTACAGCACTAAAGCTTATGCTGATCTGTTCTGTACAACATCTATTGCACGTCTGTCCGTCCTGGAAGAGGGATCCCTCCTCAGTTGCTCTTCCTGAGGTTTCTACCGTTTTTTTTCCCATTAAAGGGGTTTTTTTGGGGAGTTTTTCCTGATCAGCTGTGAGGGTCATAAGGACAGAGGGATGTCGTATGCTGTAAAGCCCTGTGAGGCAAATTGTGATTTGTGATATTGGGCTTTATAAATAAAACTGAATTGAATTGAAGTGAGCTGAACTGAATCATCAAAGCAAGTGTGAAGTTAAAACAAAAAATACAATACAATAAGTAAGAAAGTACAATAGGTAAAGGACCACAACATGTTTCTTTATATACACGCCTCAGCTGATTGGGCAATAGTTCTGACACACCCACCAAGTGAGAGAGAAAACATACCTTAAATTATGTTTCACAGCATTTTGAAGAAACACGCCATTCAACCAGAAAAGTGCAGCAAAACAGTGCACAACATTTTGAGATTGAGCGTACCCCTGCAGAAGCACTGCCATGGCTTTTCATTTCTAAAGATCAACAGAGAAACCTCAACAGTGAACTGACCAGTGGTGTGACTTCATCACTCAGGGACAGAGCTGTGTTCATAAAGCCACCCCAAGCTTTGCTGTGGTGCAGTCTCACCTCTACATATTATCAGATGTGTGTTTAAAATTATGTTACTCTTCCAAATAAAATAGTTAATTCCATAGAAAGCGTGTAAGTTTTTAACAAAGGGAGATAAAATGCAGTTTTATCTGGTGTAAGTCATTACAGTATATGTCGGTCAGACATAACTTCAGAAGCATTAAATTATCAATACAGCTGTCAGGACTGAGTGTAAAAGTCAACTCACTAATGGTGTAAATTATAAATGAACACAAAAATGACAGTAACCAGCAGAAACTACCAGGTTCTGATCAGACACGTTATAATCACTGATAAAATGTGACTTTAATGTTTTGGAACATAAAACAGCAAACTTAACTGCAAACCACTCACCACTCAGTCCAGCACTAGGCATGATGGGAAATGTGGGCATTGCTACACTCTGAACTAAAACAGGGTGATCACAAATAAAATGGTGGATTAACTGAAATATGTCGGCCTGTGTCAGAGAACTTTAATTTTATTATTACGTTCTTTGGAACTAAGTGGAACATGTAAATTCATGCTCGGTCACATTGTGAGAAAAACACCTGACACACGGCATAAAAATGTTTCCTGTGAAAATGCACTGTACAGAACTGTCTTTTGGGGATTTTTTTGATGTGCTGTTTCACTAAGCCTGACAGTTAACCCGTCATGGAGCAGGGTAGTTCAGCTGTATAAGTTACCATGGTTACTGAGCAGGAAGCCCTTAAGTAGTGGAAGTGATCTCCCACTTAAACTAGCAAGACTTATCAAAATAAGCCTGCCCTTTCCTTAATCTGCCTTGATGGAATGCCCCTCTACTGGGCTTCATGTGGGATGCTTGGACAATGAGACACTGGTGTGACTTGAGGTTTTTAAGTGTCTGGTTCCTCCTGGTCAGGAGAAGAGGCACTGAATCATTATCTCTCTCATCTGTATTGCTTCTTACATGCATTTGGAAAAGTCCACAGATTGCATTCCAAAATAATTTTAAAAAATAACATATTCTTTCCCAGGCATGTTTCAATAGTGATGGACCTGTCTCTGCTGATGAACCTGTCTTTACTGATGGACCTGTCTTGTCTGCGTCTTTTCTCCTTTCTTCCATAATGAACGTCTCAGCCATCCTGAACATGTCATCAGTGTAGTGTCCTCCACCATTGGCTGACACCATCTCATCTACTTTACTCAGGAAGCTTCTGACCTGCTCTCTGCTTTTTTTGGTTTTATTGTCAAACACACAGAATCGACCCCCGCACATGGAGACCAGGTCTGACATGTGTCTGTTGGACCTGATCAGACTATCCATAGTTTGACCTTTTAGATCGTCTCCATGAGTGAACAGGACCATGGAGTATTTAGAGGCACCTCCCTCAAACAGTTTGGGAAGTATCTCAAACAGTTTGATGTCTTCTTTTGTGATTCTGCCTAATCTGACCACAAAGACAAAAGCATGAGGTCCTGGACTGGCCTTCACTACTGACTTCATGATCTCCAGGTACAGCTGTTCAGGAGTCAGAACAGCATCAGTGAATCCAGGAGTGTCGACCACTGTGACCTGACGACCCTCCACTGTGGCTGATTCAGAGACTGTCTCAGTACTGACTGAACCAAAGCCACAGCCTGATTTGAACTTTTCAGATCTTAGGATGGTGTTTCCTGATGAACTCTTTCCTGCTCCAGGTCGACCCAGCAGCACGATCCTCCTGTCTCTGGAGACATCAGCTGGAAGACAAAAGACAGAAAAACAGATGANCTGATGAACTCTTTCCTGCTCCAGGTCGACCCAGCAGCACGATCCTCCTGTCTCTGGAGACATCAGCTGGAAGACAAAAGACAGAAAAACAGATGAGTAAACCTTCTTGAAAAATGTCAGAAGAGTTCTCATAATAACACAGAAATATGTCTGCTGATTAGACATTAGACATTGGACAGTGGATATGAAAACCAGAGACAGAGACACCTCCTGTGGACACAGACGGGGTTAATGGTTCAGAGCAGCATTGAGAGTTTCAGAGCAGCAGCAGGATGGTGAACTGAAACTCTGCTGACATTTGGTTTGAACACAGAAAACAACCAACACCACCACCAGCGACGGGAGCTGAATGAAAGGGTGGAGTCCAAAATTACTCCCAGGTTACAGATTCTGGGGATGGGCAGATAGAGAGGCCGTCCACATTGAGGAGAAGATCTTGGTTGACTGGAGTTGGGTTGGAACTGAATCTCTGATGGAGACAAACTTTTATCCCGTTGAAATGTATGATTAGTGTATGAATTCTTGAGTTATGGAGGGACAGAAAACCCTCCTGGAAATTACATTTATATACAACTAGATTTGAAACGGCAAATATGTTTTGATGGAAACGATGTTAAGAAACTAACAGTTTGCATCAACATCATGAGAAAATTACATACAAAACTTAAGTTCTTAGCAAGATGCAAAACGATGACACTGAATGTTTCAGCAAAATGTTCACTGACTACGTGTTTCATTAGTTTTCTGTCAGAATTAGGACTCTTGTAATAAACGATGCACTCGTAGTGACGACAGCATTACTGTAGTTTCTCTGGTGATGTTTAGGCCATGGCAGCAGGTGGTTCAGATTATAAAGATCATTGTCTTTTTTATACAGAAAAGTCAGCAGTGACTTTATAAACTAACATTTAACCAAACCACGACCTCTCCTTGACCTTAACCAACGTGTTTCTGTTGGCTAAACCACAGACAGCAGTCTGAACATGAACCCTGGATTCTGGTGTCACAGTCCACCATCCACCCTGACGTCCTCCCTGAGAATCCAGCATGGTACATAAATGTAGTGTTTCATTAACAAACGTTGTCTTTGAACCCAGAAAGTCATTACATTCTCACATTATGACAACAAGTTAAACAAATGTCACTCTAACAGACGGGGTTGGTAAGTGAGGACGAGGTACAGTTTTCTACCAGGACTCACTGAGTTCTGTCAGATAGATAATTCTTGACTCTGATAACGAGGAAGTTAAATGTCGGTCTCTACATCACGCCATCCAAAGCTGTGGTATAACTTTAACTACATATAAGAATTAAATCACACAGTACCTGAGGGACCAGGTTGTTGTTGGGGTGAGAGGTGGCCTGACTTCACCAGCAGCTGTCTGACTTGTTCTTCATCATCATCATCATTGTTGAAGAGGTGATATGCCCCCCCAAACATTTTAACAACATCTGGAAGTGTAGCTTCTTCTTCATCTTCAAAGATAAAGTCGTCCAACGTCTTGTCCTTTAAAGCATCACCACCAGTGAAGAGCAGGTAAGTGTTTTTCATCCCCCGAGGCCCGATGACTTCCTGAGCTGTCCTCACAGCCCTCTGGTCCTCCTCTGTGAACCTTCCAACTCTGAGCACCACCAGAAACAGACAACGTCTGGAGGACTGCAGGAGCTCCTGACACAAGACTTTAATCTCATCTTTGTACTTGGTGTCTAATATTCCTGGAGTGTCGATCACTGAGATGTGTTGCCCGAACACATATTCTGTTTCCTCAGAGATACGTTTCGTCACTGGTTTTAAGGACAGCTTCGACTCAAATCCTCGTCGTCTTAAAATTGTGTTTCCTGAAGCACTTTTACCGACTCCAGTTTTTCCAAGCAGGACCATGGTGAGAGGTCGAGGCTGATCTGGGGCCATGTTTGAGGATCAGAAAACCTGCAGGAGAAATGGAACAGATTCAGCTACACAGGCTTTAATTTGATTTGTAGAAATCACCTTAACTGGTTTTCACTGTCTGAAAGAGAAGAAAATGTCATCATCAGAGGTGTCGTTGGACCCGAGCGTCTGAGGCTACAACTAGGGGTGGACTGGGACAAAAATTCAGCCCTGGCATTTTCTGTCCAGACCAGTGTTGGGAATAGAATGATGTTATGTGTTTTACTATAAGTTGTGTTCCACTATATAAGTTTTAGATGTGTGAACAATGAGAATACTGAGATGATTTCAGCTGATCTGAATGTGTTTGCTTTGCAGAAGTGGAGAAGTACAGGAGAGGAAGAGACATGAAGTCTGAGGAGCACATACCGCAATGCTTAGATAATTAGTTTCATATATGGTAAAAAGAATAGAAAGTGATA